ACCTAGTAGCGATGGCCTCCAACCTAGTAGCCATGGCCTCCAACCTAATAGCCATGGCCTCCAACCTAATAGCCATGGCCTCCAACCTCATATAGCAATGGCCTCCAACCCAAAAGGATTGTCACTCTGCAGGTGCTAAACTGCGGCTCCTGGGGGGAGTACGCAAACACCCGCCGCCGTGTTCATGGTGAACTCCAAGAGCGGGGCCCCGCCTGGACGGGCACACTGCGCACCGACGAGTGCACCAAGGGCGAAGCCGCAGAGCCGCTCACCGCAGTGAACAACGGGGAGAAGCCGCGGGTATGTGTAGAGCGAAAGGCATTTTAACATGCTCAAAACCCTGAAGGATGTGCCAGCTTAGAGAGAAAATCTGCCGGTGGCGTTTTTCACTGTTTTTGTCCAAAGTGTTGGGTCTTGTAGGTGTGGCCTGCCGCACGAACATGTTGAATTGGCTGTCATGTTTGAAGGCTTTGGATCCAATGTTCAGAACATCCAAAACAATTTAGATAGATTAAGATCAAATCAGCGTGTATCAGGAAAGAGTTTGCAGCGTGCTACTGGTTTGTCAAACCTTGGTCATGAAGGAGTAGATTTGGGGATGGCATGCACAGATACATGCTTGGAGGCTGGCAGAATCCTTAGGAAAACTTGGGGGGAATATGCTAGACATCAGCATCATTGGTTCCTGAATCAACTTCACAAGGGTGTGTTTGCAGAAAATGTGAGGAAGCGTGAGTCTTTACAGGGGGTGGTGGAAGGATGCGGAGGTGAGTTCATTTGTCATTTGCCAGCCCCTGGCGGCCCTGGCACCTCCGATCCAAGATTCAAGGTGGTTCAAGAGCGAAGAGTATCCCAGCGGAGTCAATGAGTATCCTCGGCTGATGTGAAAATCACGGGGTTCGGGTGAGTATGGGACAAAAGCTGGCTGTCCCTTGTTCGATGGTATGCGTTTGACTTCATTCAAGTAGTCTTGACACCTACTGGAGCTTGGCCTGTCGTTGACTCAAGCTCAGCTGACTGGTAGGTCTGCTAGGTTCTTTGGGTTCAGACAAAGGATGAAAAAGATCCAGTTAATATAAAGTGATGTTGTGGTTTCCGGGCAGAACGGAGGTGCACAGGCACGAGGTAAAGCACCTGGCGGCCTTCGAGCCTTAAAGTTCATGCTACCGCCGAGTATTGGGTTGCCAAGTTCTGTTTGATGAAGTTTCCTGGGTAAGCTTTGTACCAAGCTCGTGCCAGGTGGTCGTTTGGAGTCCGAGCTTCCAACCAAGTTAAGATCTAAAGCTCCTGAACGCCCTTTGCTGCTCTCCTTCGTGCTTGGGGGAAGTTGAACCAAAGGTCTCCTTCTGAGCTCGCGAGGCATTGGCTGTATCATGGCACCTCCCAAGAAGGTGAAACTGGCATCACCGAAGGAGATTTCAGATTGAATCTCGCTGGAAGCAATGCCGGCACCCTGTATGGTGTGGGGCTTAGCATGATGAGGACAAGATCACATTTGCTGGTGCCTTCCTTGGTTCCAAGGTGTTTTTTCCTGTCAAAAGGAGTAGGTTTGTGAGCAGAACGTGGGTGACCACAATTTGCGGGTGTTGGGTACGACTGAACTCCTCGCGGTGTTGGTTGGTCTTCACCTCCCTGGAATTTGTGTTCTCTAAAGCAGCTCGTGTGGCCCAGTGGGCCGCTGGGTGAACATTAATGGCGAACGAAGAAAACATAAGAGGGGGATTTGAACTATTCGTGATTGTTTCGCTATTGAAATCCATGTTTTTTTCATAATCTTAGTGATCTGGCTGGTCAATGATAGGGTAACGAGGAAGACACTAACAACCTTGAATAATGGCAGAAAACCTAGGTCTCCTAGGTTACACGGACAACTGCTTAGAGGGACTTTGTGTGGCTAACGCTTATGGAAGTTTGAGGCAACAATTGGGCTTTGAGCCCCTCAGACATCCCGGACTACCATGCTCAATGAGTGTGCGATCCCAGAAAATGAGTGGCTTCAAACCTGCAACACACTCCATGATCGCAAATTGCGTCGAGGTCCCGCGCGCCTAACACAACCACGAGCCAATTTGTTGTGAGCGCTTGCACGCAGCCAAAAACGTACATCACAGCGCCCAGGGAGGGACCAGGAGGGAATCGAGCCGGAGGCACAATCCTGCGCGTCTCGCCTTTTCCGAGGAAAGAACAACGTGGCAGTCCGCAAGCAATAAGAACGTACACTATCCTACACTTATGTTGTCATTGCTTTTGCATTCGAGGTGCAAATGTGTTGTAAAGCGACCGCAGACCGACATCCCTCCAGTGTTTACCGGACTCCCTGTCTGTCAGGAACACACAAAGGGCCCGTTCCGCTTAAATCCGCTCACCGGCGGATTTGCCTAGACCGGGGTTGGCAGATTTATAGGATGTGCTTCGCATCCATGTGAAAGTGTCCAGCATGTTCCAGCTGGCACTGTACGGCATTCCCAGGCAATGGAGTCTATTTGGCAGAGGTCTGGCTGCCTGTCGTTTACAGGGAGCAAGAGTGGAAAGTAACCTGGAGACGGCAAGGTTTGTTCCGTTAGGGGTATTGATCATCATTTCACATTGTTCGGAGCCAAGTAACCAAACATGCTTGCTTTGTTTGCGGATTGTGCAGAAGTTCAAGGAAGGAAAAACTGTGCACGTGATGCTGACAATCCATCAGCAATTGTTACATCATGTTACACTTCAAAGGCTTGATCGGCCACCTTCAGAATTGACATGACCTTTGCAGTGCAGTGCAGTGCAGTTATAATGCGATGGGTGTTGGATGGTTTTGGGCTTGATCCTCCCTTGTCATTGTTGCAAACCAGTTTGGCAGTGTATGAAGAAAATATAAGCTGTCTAGTGGTCTCATGGTCTAGATTTGCTTGACAGTTGCAGTGCTTTGCAGGCAGTTTCGAAGAGCGATGAATACACTACTCCTCACGGTTCCAATGATCTTCGCACGATCCTGTTGTGTCTCTCATGTTTGGGGCGAATCAACTACAATGACGAGCGCCGGCCGGATGGCGACGAGCTGGCGGCTTCTTGTCAAGGTGGTGGGTATCATAGCATTTTAGGAGATCGGGAGAAGATCCGCGGGACCTACCGCGAGATCATCGTTTTTGATGAGAACTTGATCTATCCAGGATACATTTGTCGCTACAGGCGCATTGACTAATTGTAGATATGTTGTAGATAGTGTGTTGTTGGCAGATGTTTACAAGTGGGCTTGCAACGTGAATTGACTGAGTCAATCTCACAGCCTATCCCTGAACATGCTCCAAAGACTGGAGGATGGTGTGGTAACTCTATCCTTTCTCGGGACCTGTCGGATTTTTGTGGTCCATAAAGTATATGAAAGGTGGAAGTGTCAAACAATTTGCCCTTGTCAAGGGACCAAAGGCGTCCCATGAGTGGTGTATTTGCCAATGGCGAAAGAAAAATTGCACGCACCTCCCGATGCGTCCCATGCGGTCTATCCTACTCACCAACTCCATGTCACTTGCAGTGAATCCATAATAGATCATGAGATCATATTTTGCGTTTATATAAGTGATTCAATTTGGTTTTCACTCTTCGACACATACCTGCTGAAAGGCAGCAGACGCAGCCTTTCCCTGCTACAAAGAGCATTACCGCCGGCCAAACAGAAAATACACATGGTTGGTGGTCTCCCCTCTTTAATTCACCCCTCTTACGCCTGTTGCTATTGGTTTCACTAGAATGTGACGGAAAAGGTTCATGCTCATGTCGAGGCCTGGAGAAGAAGAGCAAAATTACAGATAATTACTGACTTGGAATAGTTCAGGTATCTAGCTGTGCGGCATTGCCACCAAGGAGCGCAATACGTTGTCCAACCAGAATACGTCTAAAGTGTTCAAGTCTATGTGCGAGTTGGAATTCCAGTAGAGAGGAAAGATTTGTCACACTTCTCCAAGGGATTTGGATTTGGACGATATACCAATCCTTAGGAAATTATTTGGAGGTGGGAGTCACTTAGTGAAATATGTGTTTCCAAATCATTAACTAAAAGTACTATTTGGCAAGCCATGTAGGTGGTGGTACCAAAATAATTTTCACTGAAACAGTCTAGGTGGTGCAAAATAGTTTTCATATGGTAGATATTATTTCTAAATAATTTTGAGTCTATGACCACCCACCTGTACAATATTAGTTATTTAGAAATAATTTTGCGTATATGAGGACCCACCTGTCTGGCTGACAGAGCAGCAGCTTGCAAACAAGCACCTCAGAGTTGCAGCCTCTGGGCACAATGCTTTGTGGGTTTACTGCTAGATCAAAGCTAGAAAGAAAAGAACTGTTTCATAAACATGGCGAGGCACACTTGGTCCAATGCGTTGGAAGGCATCGAATCAAAGTCCACAGGCTGAGAATGTTTGCGAGTCGAGGACACCTGCCATCTCAATAGGAGGAAATTGGAGAAATTGAGGAAAAGGAAGATACTTTTATCCAAAAAACATCTACAGATAGTGAAACAGGGAGAAAGGTGGAAGAAAAGGAACATGGCCACCAAATCCAATAGAACTAAATTATTTGAGGAGGTGGGTGACTACACAACCACCCATTAAATGGCGCCAACGGGAGAAAAAGGTGGAAAGGACAGAACAAACAGCAAGGAAACAGTGAAGAGGAAAAGAGATTGGAAAAAATGATCAAATCCGCTGGGTTTTTGAAGATTTGGTTAAAAATAGCCAGGAAGAACCGGCATAAACAAACATCAGCGGCTTAGGGGTTCGTGTTAGCCACGTAGAGTCGGAACGGTGGGACTATAGCAAGCAGCAGCAGCAGCAGCCCCAATAGTAAATTATTTGAAGGGTGGTTGACTACTCAACTACCCATTATGACACTGTCCGTGGTAACCCAAGCTGAGTCAACTTTGGTCAACTTTAGGGGGGTGGGTCCCACCTAGATGGTCTCATGCCGGATCTATGTTGGAAATGTTTTATGACATTCTTGAAATTATTTGTCAGGCCCTGAGAGTCCAGAATTCTATTATTTTGAGGTGGGTGGTACGGAGGGTGGGCCCAAGGAATGGTATATTTTGGACGCCTTTGGCTCAACAGAACAGAAAGAGACAGGACCAAGCCGCAGGAGGCAGATTTCCTGAAATCCCCAAGCAACAGAAATGAAGGCTTGCAGATTTTTTGCTCCACAATCTTTTGACGCGGTCATCAAGAGGGCACCACTTTAGATCCATAGAGCTTTAGATCCATGGCCCGCCATTTGAGAGTCCGCCAGAGTCTGGCAGTGGCCTGAAAGCACCCGGGTGGATGCATCGGCTTCGAAGACCCTTGCTGCTGTGCTGCACGGGCCTTTGGGTGAGCCTTTGGCCCTTGTGCCGTGGGCAACGCTTCACCTGTGAGACCGCCAGCTGCGCCAGACACGATGTTTGGGAGCCGGTGCCCTTTGCGAACTCCACAGAAGTTTGCCAAGATGCTCAGCTGAGAGCCTTAGATGAGTTTGTAAGCATCTTCCCTCAACAATGTCGTGAATGGGCTGCAGCAGGCATGGGTCCCTGGGGTGACTGTCGAAAGAAATACTGCGAAGTCTTGGGGCATCTGGCTGGGAATCTGTCACATCAAGGCAGCAACCTCTATTACGGAGGTGACGAATGTCGACCACTGGTCAACTTCAACCAAACGCTTTGTGAGCTTGGCTCTCCAAGAGTTGTTTGATTTTCTTTGGTTTTGGACGGTTGTACGTGTTTCCTCAGTTTCATGTAATTAATCAGTTTTGTCCGTGATCGAAACTGGACACCCAAACCCTTACATGTTGTGTTCACCTGTTTTCGGTTTGTGTTCTCCAAACCATTTCACCTCGCTCTGGCAACAAGGTGAAACCTCCTACCGGGATGCCGAAGGCTTCTGCGAGTGCCTTTGTCCGACCATGGGCCATCTCCAAATTCCAAGGGTTGGAGCCTGTGAGGAAAAGATCATGAAGTTCTTGTTCCTGGGACGTCGAGGCTGTCGAAGGGGAGGGGAGGATGAGGATGAGGCAACCTCAGCCAATCATGAGGCCTCTCAATTCGTGTGCCAAATGCAATGTGGGCACCAATTTCTCAAGTGAAAGATAAGTGCTACAGTAGTTACGTAGCGAGTTGCCAAAAGCACGCCCTACAGCATCAAGAGCCACAGATATGTAGGCTGGAGCCAAAATCACGTCCGTCCACCTTCTCTTCATCATCTTGTATATAAATGCCTCACATGTTTCAGTACACATGCTATAGCTGGAGCAATGAAAAAGAGTGGATCAACCGCTTCGCACTGAAAATCAGACTACGTCACAGGAGGCAGAAGATTGGCAAACCAGTTCTGTTGATGTTCCATGATGTTCCCATCGCATCCATTGGACCCAGTTCACGAGCCATTCCATGCAGCCTTGCAACGAAAGGAACATGAGAATCTCCCAGGAACGGCCCGAGAACAGGTCCGAAGAAGTGGCCTTTTCGAACGGGTTTCTCAGTAAGCCAGAAGTATGCCAGGCTATGAACTCAGCCAGAAGTATGCCCTGAGTGGCTACTGCTCGGACTTCATTTGCGAGTACTTCGGGAAGGTGGGCGAGCCCAATCCGCCATACCCGGTCGCGGGGATTCCTCCGATCTGCAAGACCTACGACTTGCCATGGCGCTTGTACAGCTGTTGCTTGGAGTTCATGGCTTGGGGCTGCAGGTCTGGGAGAGAGAAGACCGACCAGCGTGAAGTCAGCTTCCCCAACAAAGGCCAAGTTTCTTTGTGAAGGAGCTGGACTCCGCAAGAAATCTACTGTTCCTAAAGGGTTGGGTACTGTCCCTACCTCTAGGGAAGCGACAGCGAACAAAAAGATTTGATCTACTCTGTACGAGGCACCCACAGACTGACTCAAAACAATCGGCAGACTCAATGGAAGAATTGGAAGACTGACCCCATTCCAAGCTGCCACCAACTCCTCTTTGTATACTCCAGGATTTGAGACACACATGTATATACTGTATATATATATATACACTGTGTACAGTCACTAGATTCTTTGGGGGGTTGCCGCTCAACTTGCTGCCTTTGCCAAGGCATCGAACTGCTTTCCAGGAAGAATTACACGCCAGAACCTTGGCTGACCCCCTATCCGGCAGACAGCATTCTAGAGTGCACCGATGCTACGACACATGAAGTGGACATTCGAAGCTTGGCAGACAGCAAAACAGATGTTCTTATGGTTTGTGGGGAAATTTTCCGAATTCAGATGCATTTGACTGTGCCTGTTTCTATGCCCACTGAAGCCTGGTGGGTCCTGAAATGAAGTGATTTCTTCACAACTCATGCCGTAGTAAATCCATCAAGTCCACTTAAATCCGCTGGTGTAGAAATCAGACAGTCACAGAAATCTAGAGATGTTTCGGATGTCCGGCTTCGCAGTTGTTCCTGGGCACGACTGTCGGTTTGAAAGGACATATCGACACCTGGGGCATTTGTGGCAATCACAAATTTCGATGGCGATGCCCTCAAGACTTCCCTATCATGTGTCGTGACCCCTATGGCTGCTCGGGCGATCATTGTCGCTTGGAGGATGTGGGATGCTTTGCAGTGCTTTGTTCCCCAGGAATATCCCAGATCTACATCAATCCAAAATGTGGAAGGTTGCTGTACTTGAATGAAAACGAACTTCCAAGATTCAGCCAGGCTTGGAAACAAATCCGGCGGAATCCACTTACCATCTCCAAAAGTTGTAGCAGCAAAAGTTAGCCCATATTTGCTTCTCCCAGAAGGTCTTGTTGCTTGAATATCTCAAATTGCCTGGTTGCAGCTGTTTTGTGGTTGTTCGCGCGTTCCTCGCATGCCAGGTTGCGAAGAAACGGTCGACATGTGTCCCCTGGGCGAACGGGTGGCCTCCACGTTTCTGGCCATTGAGCTGCCCGAGTGGAGGGGGCTTTGGCCACCGGACTGGATTGCAGCTTTAGGACCGGGCTATGAGCAAGTCCGTTGAACAAATCTTGTCTATATATATAATATATATATATATGTGTGTGTGCTATATATACACCTAGCATCCCCTGAAAACGAAGTGCTGCTTGCTTCTGACTGGGTGTTACTAGTGATACTTGATGTGAAGATGCGGCTTTGGATCATTGCATCCTGAAGAAAACATTCCAGGCAATTGGGGGCGAGTGTCGATTGGGGCGGGTTC